TACGAGATAATTGCCAAAAGTCCTCTTATTTAAAATGAATAACTATCAATGTAATACCGTACTAATAATCTAAATTATTTACATTAAGGTGAGAATTATTAATTGACATTAAACATTTAATTCGAACACATTAAAAATCAAATATCATTATAATTGGTTCCTACAATTCAGATATAATCCATTAATAAGATCAATTAAAAATTACGCAAACAAGCATTAGGCATTATTCACTGGCAACTAACGATTTTTCAACGGAAAAGTTCAGCACAACAGTTTCGTTTTGATTATATTCAACTTGTGTTATTTGATTACAGTTTATAAGGAGAAGTTGAATCAATTTATATTTCAGATAGGATCGTTTAGAACTAGTCCACAGCTAAAGATGTTTCGTAAATACTGTCAGATGGTTCGACATCATTTACGGTCGAATTACATTTAGTGATCTTATTAGCTGACTCAAACTACTGAAAAACAATACACAGTTCACATATATTGTCACTGAACGATAAACTCTTTTAAACTAGTGTTATTACAATTTGGAAAGACTGTAATTTCACTCATGAAAAGTGGTATTTGATTTCACACCCCATTTTAACCGTAATGTTTAAGGTTTGTCTACTACTTCTTCTTGAGCGCTTACTCACTGCTCATTTCTCATCTTTCCAATTTAACAATAACAGCTGTTCCTGAAACACCGCCTAATCAACCAGTTGTCAACTCGTCATTTGGTGTTAGTTCGACTTACACTAGATAGTCTTCACCAGTGAAAGTACTGTTGGTCCACCGCCTTAGCATTGCGTACTTACGACACAGTTCGACTCTCCCAAACAAGCGTCGTTGTATGACTGAAATTGATGGAGGATGCCAACTCAATCTGACTTTGGTACTACACATCACTCAGTTCGAAACAACTAAAAATCCTCTCACTGTAAAGAGATTTGGAAATGGTTATTTCTATATTCATTATCAGTAGTAACCCATTTTCAATTGAATCCTATCTCAAATTAATATGACAGACTGAGAGGGACTATTGTGTAACGTTTTCTGTTCTATAGTGTTTAGTTGCAGCATCATTGATTGGATTGTATGCATTCATACATGGTTTATCCTGAACTTTTACTTATGTGCATTTTTATACAAGAATGCTTTCTTATCTCTGTTTACTTAATTCACTCTGCCTATTTTCACATTTCCACACATAGTTGTTTAAAGAAATCATGATACATGAAATCCTCTCTGTAGTCTCACCAGCCTATGTAAGAAGAACTCACGTTTCGTGAACTATATTAAAATGTAGCTTCTCCGTTATGTATTTTAATTCACATATTGTCGGTGAGATTATTAATGAACTGGATGTTTTGGCTGTGAAGCTGGTTGTTTTTCTGGACAAAGTCATCTCCACATACTACGAAGAGATGTAAACTGTAGGAGTTTCTTGACAGCTGATTTACAAGTCGTTTAGCTGACTTGGAATTTGGTTGGATGTAATCCCAAATGCATACCCGTTGTTTGTATGTTCGTTTTAGTTGTTTTCTCTATTGACCTGGACTCCGAACGTGCAGATGTTAATCCGTTACTTGTTGGCTGATCGACTGTGTCAATTTTGACATGTGAATTGACTGATTATTGAGTAGAGTTCCTACTTGTAATAACTGGGCTCTCAATATGCCTAAAATCTACAAATTACTTCGTTTCTCTTGTGGTCGTCATTGAGGTAAAGTCTAAATGCAGCTAAACTGTAGCGAAATGTAAAATGAGAATATCAGTCTAGTCATTATCAGCATTTTATTTTACTGTGCTTGAAACTTGTAATATTCACCCAGTACTTCCAAACTGTAACCACAAAAATAGATTCAAATCGAAAGTAATATCAAAAGATAATCTATTTTCATCGACAATTTGTACAAAATTAAAAGACGGAATGTACACACACAAAATGTATAAACATGTAAGTTACATAGATTCTGATCTCTATATCAAATAACCTGCTTGTCTTTTTGTAACACTTTCTTCATGTTTCCGTAATTCTAAACCAGTTATCAAAGTGATTTCTATAAGACCAAATATACAGAACCACTCACTGGTTGCACATTTATTGAATTCTGTGTAGCCCTATTTCAAACAACGAAGTAAACAATAATGATGCTGTATGAAAGTTAAGAATAAGTGTTTAAGGTAATTTTAACAGTTCTAGATAAAACAGAACAAAGAGAACATGAAGTTCAGATGTTGTTAACTTTCTGTGGTTTCAGAAATAGCAGTTTGTCAGTTGAATTCTGGATGAACACACCCATATCATGTTGATTTATTTTATCACCTCATCACCAATGGAATCAGATCACTTGATAACAATTTGCATGTGTCGATTTCGTTCAAATCAATTATTAATTATTTCTATCTGTTGCAGAAGTAAAAGCAAGGATTGGCAAAGCAAGGACAGCATTCCTTCACTTAAACAACATATACAATTCAAAACAAAACTGTCTGCTAGCTAACATCAAACTACTACTACTTTAACAAACTACGATGTATTAATATTTGCTTCTTTTATCATTCACCAACAACTTTTATCAACAAAACACAATCTTCTCCTAGAAAATTCACATCAACATTTTTGTACCCTATTTCATTGCTAATTCTTACTTAGTCAATGAAAATATTGATACATCAGTACTCGGATTAATACTAACAGCTTAGTACATAGGTGTACTTTAAGTTGCATTGCTTATAAAATTTAAAATTATCCCAAGTTTTATCTAAGTTGGTATAAATTTCAACCCCTCATCATATAATTCTGTGTGGAAGCTTATATAATGTATTAATTCTGTGACCTAGAAGAATATTATCAATGAAATCAAAAAGCTATAGATACAATCATATCCTAAAAATAGAAATATATCAGGTCATTGATCACCTATTCTTTTGTATTCACTTGGTATTATTTGGCTTGTATCTTCCCATTGAGATTTGACTGCGATTGATCAGTCTGTTATTGGCATATATGCATACTGTGCGTATGCCTCGATATTGCCTTAGTTCATAAGCTTTTTGTAAGCAATGATGGATAGTGGCTAGCAGTGGAATCCAGGACGCACGTTTCGTCTCGTTTGGGACTCGTCAGCTGGATGTACCTGCATCTCAGAGTTGATGTTCACTCTGAGACTCGAACCCAGTACCATTCTCTTTAAACGCCATCGCGTTATCTACTTATCTACTGAGTCCTGATAGCCACTTTTGTGTCTAGATTTTCTTTCACATATTAAATGAAATTCTTTTTAATAAATATATCACTTTAATGTCTTCTGTATTCCTTCTTTTTCATATAACTGAAGGAAAACCAACAATATAGAGTATCAATATAACATTTTGGAGATGAATTTTAATACCTTTGTAAGTATCTGAATCATTTTGTTGTTTGTTTGAAGGACTAGAGTTGATTAAATTTAACTGCTAGCCACTAATCAACTCTGATTAAAAATCATTGTAGCCTAATGACAATACCGAGGAAATCTGCTAATGATAGATCTATGCCAAATGAGACTGATTAATTACAGTTCCAACACCAACATTGGCAAATGGAGAAATAATCAACTCAGTGCACTGGAACCTTGTAATCCCAAAGAAAGATGGATAGTCCTCTTAAATGGGGAAAACAGACAGTGACTTTGTTTCGGATTTATTTAACTTCAAATAAATAGTGGTGATGAAAATAATAATGTCAGTTGTACTTTTGCGACACCCAACCAAATTGTAACACTAAATTGGAAGATACAAGTTTTTCACGATCCCATTGTTCGACAAACGAAGTTAACCAAAATGATTTTAAGCAATTTTAAACCAAAATATTTCACAGATATAGATGGCATGTATAATGTTTTTCATAACAGTATAAATGTGTAAATTTATTGCTTTAGTGTGATCGGACATTAGAATGTTATTTCATGTGTGAAATTCCAATACCATCTTATCAAATGCTTTTCAAAAAGTCTAGCTCCACATCTTTCCCTAACAGAAACTTCCTATTGTTATGCTGTAGTTGAAGAATTTATGTTCGTCTTAATTCATTAAATAACATAGTTAAACATACATATACATACATGCACATCTGAATTCAATTACGTCTTCCTTTACTACTACAGTACATATCACTGAGTTGATCACCATGCACTTGAATGATAAACTTTGTTATTTCATGTAAATTTCTTTGTGAGTACGATTGAGCACATGTCTGCACTCAGTTCAATCTATTCTCCCATTGGTTGTAATAAAAGATAATCAATAATTTGTTCTTACTTGATTAGCACTCATAAATATATGGATTTTAACACATACAGAAATATAAACACTCTTGTTTCCCCTGTGTTCGTACTTCCTGTACGCTTGCGTATTATACCAATCTTTAACAATAAACTTTCTCTGTAAATGGTGTTCAGGCTTTTGAATAATCTCGAATAAATCCATAATTCCACTAGGAGATTTAGCCTGCATTAAATACCCAGTTAAGGGGATACTATTTGTTAGAGTAAGATATATTGGGGAAATAAGCCTCTACACACTGGTGAAATGCTCATTTGTTTTTCCATCATCGTATCAACTTGCGCAGTCATTCAAACGAAAGCTAGAACAATAGTATGTCTATACCATGTCCCGTTTTTCCTTACTTGGATATCTATCTTATAGAATATTTTGGTTCACTTTTGTAGGATTTGTTTTGCAATGTGAGACTGGTCTTGGAATTTGTTTTCATTACATCTAATATTATCATACAATATTAGAAAATAGATGTAAACTATGATTGAAGTTCATTAGTGCATTCATTGTTATTGGTAAATATGACGGTAATTTGTTTTACTTTATTCAATTGGTGTTCACAGTCAGTGAGTATGCAGCAGCATTACAAAATGTGACTGGCTTATTATTTCTTCAGAACAAATGAACGACCAGCTGGTTTAATGACACATATTAAACTAATGTGTTCAGTATTTTAAAATTCTTCGAAGACATTCTGTATCAGGAAATCAATTGGATTGTATCAAGGTGAGTTAAAAAGTCTTTTAACTATAATGTTACTCCGAATTATTGTCTGTAACGTGATATTTTGAGGCATTTTCTAAAATATTGGTTTATTGTTAATTTGATGGTGACATATTGATGATTCGGATGCATACTGACTGAAAAAATTCTGTTTGAAGCACGTGAAAAATCTGATAAACAGAACATGTGACAAGGTGAAATGTTCACAAACCTGAGTGTAATTTTCTAAAAACGTCAATTTACACAATCTGATATGTTGTTTAGTAAACCTAATAGACCAACGTTTTAGTCGAGACTAATACACTTAGTTAAATGAGTTAAAATCCAACAACTACACATTGATGATTATTGATTTCGTCTTTGTGTTGATCCATTCCGATCGTTGTGAAAATTTTCATAAGCTTTTACTTAGACTACTATGAAAATCAAACTGTTACTTTTGCCGAATTTATATATAATATAATCAGTGTTATACTTCTAGTATACCTAAAATGATTAAAGAGTATGCCTGTTTGGTAAAATTCCACTGACATATCTGTGAGTTGCTAGTTGTTAAGAATACGTTTTAAGGTTTTGAGAAACAGCATCACTCGTCCCATGTTTATTATGTCAAGTGGAATTACATTGGATGTAGAAACAGATAGGTTAACTGTTACATGATTGTTATTGTTGTGTAAATGTGTAAATGAGGAACATGTATACGGATCGATGATGTGGTTTGTTGATTACTGCGGATAAGATAGATACACATGTTACTGAATACACTCAAAAATGTACATCATTTATTACTGAAATGTGTTACTTAGATTTGACTTAAAGAATGAAGATTTATTTCTCATTTATTTGGTTAGCTTATCAGATGGGAATTAAATGCATTTTGCAAAAGATCGCTATTAGATCATTTGTGTTAAAAGTGTTCATCCTGAATTTTATAAGCAACCATGATATTCAGGTTAAATAGTGCGAATGTTACCATTACTCAGGTTATATCGTCTCACCCGATCGGTAGCAGACGCATTTATATATATATATATATATATATATATATATATATATATATCGATAGCGTAGTGACTGACCAAGAAAGGTAATTGTTTGTGTATTATGTCTCATTTGTCCTTTTGAATTTGCACGAAGAACGGTCTCAATATGTATGTCATGTTCAGTGGGTGAAAGTCAGATTGTCAGTTTCAGTTTTCGCAGATCTCCTAAAATCACACCCCAAGTCTCGAATGCAATGGGATCCCAGCAGTTTGATAAACAAGTTGTAGATTACAACACATGGCTTTCATTAATTGAAGTAATATAGAAAATCTATTGGTTTACAGCATTTAGAAGTGTGTGCGTATGATTCTGTTGAGGAGGAAGATGAAAACCTTCACTGTCAGACCTTCTGGAACAGGGTACACAACAGCTCAACAATATGTTACCGATTTGAGTTGTGTGTTTACATATAAGTTCAAAAATATCCTGTATTTTGTAGCTTATATTACGGGTTAGCCATTTTTAAATACAGTACTGTAAAGGATTATTTGACGAGTCTACAAATGCATGTGTGACTGTTTCACATCAATAGTAGGTTTATCTATCGGAGAGAATCTTATTATTTGACTTTTAATTCATTGGTCAGCTTGTTTTACATTCTATGCTACGTAACACATGCATATGACTTGGTTTTCAGCTAATTATTCATTGCCAATTTTTTTCCTTATAATCAAGTTGGAAAATGGTCTGGTTCAAATTCTATCCATCTCAATTACCCATATTCGCAGTGTGTTATGCATTGTTCTTGTTACCCATATTGTAAGTAAAAGATTTTCTATACACAATTATTTTATTGTCTGTTAGAATTGAATAACACCACCATTTCTGATAATCTACTAAACAGATTCAGTTTAGAAAAGTATATATTACAGAACACAGTTTAACATAGAATCCCTATTAAATTTCTTCGGAAGTTTTATAGAAAATAGTGTGAATACCTGATTAACTTAAGAGATTCAATAGCTGTTTTCCTGTCAACCAATACACAAACTTATACTGAATGATTGTTCGACGATAATGCTTACAAAGACAATGGAATTATGCTTGAATTCGTGTACAATGACAACATAAGTTGATCAACTATATGCTTTACGTAGTGCCACCTCAAATGTTGAACAAAGTGATTTTTACCAGTAAACGGTCTAAACGTGAAAACCAGTGAGAATTAGGGAGAACTGTAAGTCTAATTAAATGTGATTCGGAATTTCTGAACAGAATAGATTTAAAGATACAAACAGGGTCAAACAACCTTAGACATTTTACTTGTTATACCATATGATTACTCTGAGCTTCCGAATTAAAATACATTGCTGTACTCAGTAGGCATGATAAACCTGTAAAACTGTGATACTGTAAAAATGTTTTCCAAGAGGATGATTGATTCTTATCATAATAAATTGTGCAATGTGTCAGCGAATTTCATCATGCTTATAGATGAAAAGTAATAATACATTCTCGTCACAAAATTAAACCCAATGATAGTATTTGTGTTTTTGGTGAAATATGTTTGAAAGTGAACAGTTTTAAGATGACTCTGCTAGGTTTGTTTATTGAATAATTGGGATTTCTAGGTTAATGAACGCTTGGTTTGTCAATACACAGCGACTCGTGATAATGATGAAGTGACCATCTGGATAATGCATAAGAGCCTTCGATTATCCGAGCATGCAAATATATAGGATTTACAACCACTACGAACAGGCTGTCTCGACCTATGGATAAAGAATTTACTTCGAGACAAACTCATGTGTCACTTGAGGAATTGTTGGTCGCTGACGGTGACAATTCATTTAACAGACTTATTTTAAAGAAAAATCATTTGGTTTTTGATGACTATCTCATGTTATTAAAATGGCAGAAAGTTACATTCTCATTAGTGTTCATTTGTGTCAGGTGTTCCGTTTATGTTAAGAATCCTACACCAACATGCGCCTCTTCGCCAAATAAACCGGCCCCACTGTTTGAAAAATACACAGCTGACAACAACCCTGACTAGAATCGATATTGCCGGACGAAATTCCCTACATTTAGGGGGCCGTTAATAGGTGTTTCATTGACTGACTGAATGACCCTTTTGACTGACGGGAAGAGGGTAGGGGTGGATGGTGATATGTGTGTGGAGAGGGGGTTTAAAATAAACGTCGTGTTCTTAAAAAAATTATCCCGTTTAAATTATGTGAGTCGAAATACTTGATGTGCAATTAGTATTTAGTGTCGGTTGCTATGTTAAGCCCATACAGCTAGTGCTAGTTTGAGCAAAAGCTAATTTATTTTGACCTTGTTAATTATTCGTTTGACTGTTTTTATATGAGCGTATTTGTGTGGACTTCTCATCCTATTCGTCACAAATCTCTAACTTATTTTTATTTGACTATAAACATCGATTCACGCTTGGTTGAATCGAGTTGACTTTTGTGCCTACTAAACTGCGCGACAATTCGTTTCGTTTCGTTCCCTCTCATCCCTTGTTCATCTCTTCCTTCGCTACGTCTCTCTGATTGTCTGTTCCGATCAACGCTTGTACAAAATATTCGTATTCAGAGTCCATTCTGGTATTTGGCTGATGCGTTTTAAGTCGATAACAATCAATCATACAATAATACTTGAGTCAGATACCTTGCAACTAAAGTATTAGCAGCATATAATAACGACCATTGAAAAATAATTTTAAATTCACTTCTACTACTGCTTAACTTCTTATTGATTTCCATCAGCTAATACTTCAAATTTGAACAGTCTCTTCATTTTATTTCAACACTAATAATAATAATAATAATAATAATAATAATAATAATAATAATTTACACGCGATCTGTTTTACTATCTCCGTAATTCTATCATCTTTACAAAAAGTATTCTAATATACAGTTTGGTTCGCATTCCTTCATAGGTCAACTGTAATCTGTGATCAGAGTCAAATTATGAAAATATGTAGTAATGTAGTCGCATAAAATAATTAACTATATCGATTGAAGGAATATCTGTTTTAAGCACTTCTTCGTAGTACATTTTAATAGCGTAATGCACTTATTGTGTATCACCTTGATAATTTGGATTTCATATTCCATACAATTTAAATATTATCTAATGTAAATTATCTTCAATAAAGTGTTCACCAAATCGGAGATAAATCATTTAACCAATAGTACACTTATCAAAACACTGGTTTATACACCTGCAGGTAAGCTAAATATTTCCAACTAATTTGGGATAGACAATCATATCCATGATCTGTGTTTCATATTATCTAGGACTCATCAGTTAAATGTACGCAACGCGTCAATGTTAATTCCTACTCTGAGACTCAACCATAGTGCCCTTCGATTCGAACACCTAAAACGTTATCCACTAAGCCATGGAGTTCACAGTGCTGTTTTATCGGTGTATCGATCTTTTCAAAAATGAAATAAACTTCAATTTATAGCTCACTGCTTCGTAAATAATCACATATCGAGCTTTCATATCCATATACTTATATGAACGGGCGTGTATGATGGTGTGCATTATCTGCCTACTCACTATTCACATACTCACCCAAGCATTAATTGCCTAAACGCTTGACAACTTATACATATTTCCATGCACATTAAGTTGTTAGGTTGCATTGAACAATTCACGTCACTAGTTGTGATTTTGCCGGTTGTGTAACTTGATCTATTCGATGAAATAAACTATTATTTTTATTTATAACAATCAACCCAATGCTCAATTTATTCAAAATTATCAAATCAAACTTTGGTAATGACACCTATTATTATTAATAACTCAATCAGTATTCTGAAAATTATACACCTCTGGAAATCATACTAATAAAAATTGTCCTATTAATTTATAGGTGAATCATAAGAGTAGTTCCAATTGTATCCACAAAAAACTATATAAGACGAATTCTAACAAATCCGAATAACAGCGAAAGTTGCCTTTCAACACATTAAAGTGATATTTTTTCCAAACTAAAAATTATTCTGTTGTAGAATTTCGTTATTCATTCGATAATATTACCGTCATAATCAGAAACGCAATATGAAAACTTTTCAATAGTCTGAGATGAGAAATGTTTTCCTGAAGATACAGATGTATTTCATAAACAGACAGTTGAAAATATGATACACTCTGTCTCATAACTTTACTCTTTTTCTTATTAGGTATCTTGTAGCGATATCACAAGATCATGCACAACCATTTGTTCCATTTTTGAGGTAACCAATATGATTTGATAATCCTCACTGAATAAAATTAAATGCATGTAAATATTTGTGTGATAAGAAACGGATTAGTTTATTTTATTTGTATTATGAATGGTAAATATGTTTCTGAAATACAATACAGCTGAAATATAACACCAACCCAATCACATTTGACGAAGAATCTGAGTTAGATGTGGAGACATTCATGTAGCTTAGATGGGCAACGTAATCGATGAACAAGGAGGACCTGATGCAGACATAAAACAGGAATTGGCAAAGCGAGGACAGCATTCCTTCACTTAAACAACATATAGAATTCAAAACAAAACTGTCTGCAAGCCAACATCAAATTCACAATCTTCAATACGAACGTCAAGATAGTTCTACCATGCTGAGCTGCAACTTCGAGAACTACCACTACAGTCATCAAACGTTTACAAGTATTTATAAACAATCATCTACTTGAGATATCCAATATCTGTTTGTTGGATACCATTATCAAGAGTGTATTGTGGAAGAAAACGAACCACCTTGCAGTTGAGGATTGAATTAGGAAAGGATACTGGATGTGGATAGGATATACATTGCGAAAATCATAAGACTGCATCTCGAGACAAGCGTTAAGTCGGAATGGTGAAGTGAGACAGAAAATTGGAATACCAAATAACACACTGCTTTGGGAGTTGGAAGCAGACATCAAAGAGTGAAAATCGATTATAAACAAGTGGAAAGTATTGTCGAGGATAGGGTTAGGTGGAGATTCGTCATGGACAGCATATTCTCCTCCACAACTAGGGTAATTGGCGTAATTGTGTAAATAAGTAAATAAGCATGTTGGTTGGTAAGTAAGTATGGTAAATATGAAGTGAATGTCACTATGTTCAGACTAACAGTGACGATAACTTCAAAGATATCTTTATCTTCTAACAGTTAAAATGTCAATAAAGTTATCTTTTGAGACATATAACTTAAAATTTATTTTTTCATGTCAAATATTGTTTATATCTTCCCATACCACGTGAAACGATGTCCGTGTAGTTAGCATTAGACATTTTTCATTCTCTCTTCAATTGTAAAAGAACCGTAGATATTTGGCACTCATTCAAATTATTATGAAAAACCTCGTAAATATTCAGTCGATTTCCCATTTGTAAATTCTTGGTTAACACAATCCCACAAGTGCCATTGACTGTGAAATTAAAGTAGTGTCTCAAGGTTCTAAATACCATGACGGAACGAACATTTCATGAGCAAAAGAAAATATATATGGAAATGAATTAGAAAATAACAATCATTTATTCTAGTTCACTTCAATGAAACTAGTTGACTACCTGAATCGACAATACACTAAACCTCATAATAATTCTTAAGTCAACTATGCCGAGAAAAACGATCTATCAAAAGCTAACTTGCACTTAAATGAAGAGTGAAGCCAGTCATTAGACCAACATTGACTGTAATTCCATAAAATTGAGTCTTTTTATTAGTTTCCAGTACAATGCAACTTTACGTTAAGTAATTAGCATTTCGAGGAAAATGCAGTGTATTTACTTGATTGTTTTCTACTACTCCAATTATATGTATATAATATAATGCAATAAAATGTGTAGCAAATAATAACTTTGTATTTCTACAGTTCTCTTGGTATACACCCACCAGAAAAATACTTGTTTACGATTATTATGGGTTCATATGGAATAATGAGTAAGCAAACTAAACTTGATAATTTTGTGCATAATTGACAATCAAAATTATATAATACCACAAATTTTTAGAAGTGCATATCAGTGTTTAGAGCTATATCATTTTACTAAGCTGAATATAGTATGTGAAGTAAAGAAATGGGATTAAGTATTGTTTGTGTTCTCGTACTACAGATTGTTAGAATTAGTCGCTGATCCACTGTGATTCGTATATCATGAAGCATTTGACAATCTATGAAATTACAATTTTCTGTTCGTCGTTGGAGATATTCACCCAAACCATGAAATTCGTCTTTGTAACATTTGACTCCAATCCTACAGTTACACTTGTAGGAAGTATGGAAGTTTGTGATTAATTCTCTTTGGCAAGAAAATTTTTCACTCACACTAGTTTTCTCGCCAAAGAGATCTTTGGTAGTAGAGCTAAAGCTGACACCACCACATTTCTCAATAAACCGTGTATTTTTGTCTTAAAATCATCATATTATGTCACTACATTATTTAAAAGTTCTGTAAAATGTCAGAAAAAAGCTTGCTATAAAGTGCCAAACAGCAAATACTAGCGTTAATGAGGAGGCTAACAAACTCTAGTGTCCAAGCCAAAGTAAAGTTTTAGTCTGTATTGTGTATAAGTATGTTTAGCTTAGAAGTAAACAGAAGATTCAATCTCGTTAGCGAATGTTGTAGTGTGCGTTAGAGTCCAAGTGATCTAAGTATCAAAACTGAAGTTATATATATTATTGAATTATAATGGACGTTTAAAGACTGGATGTATAATGGGAAAATCCACTTTCATCGTGTAGCATTTATCAGTGATTTTGTAAACTTCTCAGATACTGTGTTTGTGATCGCCTAACAGATAGTTTAACCTGATCAGCTTACACTGTTCAGTCTACTGATTCTTCTTTGTAAAATCAAACCAGAACATCTCTAGTTCAAAATGTTTGTCTGTTGAAAGAATATGCGTTAAAAACACCATCTGTTTTGTGTTGTGCGTAGTTGATGCATAGTGAGTATCTCTTCTAGTAAACTACAGAGTAATGTGAGAATCGAGGCTTTTGTAATAAATTCTCTCTCCAGTAAGCCTAATTTTGTTGCATAATTGCGATTTATGTGATTTCCTCCTAATGTGACTACTTCTCTACATAAACGTCCTACTGAACACTTGAGTAGTAGTGATTTATGGTACAACCAATGCACGTGATGTGGAAGAGGAGATGGACTTGACGGCTTAGTGACATTTCACGAAATACATTATGTTTGCTACAAGTGCAAAGAACTAATATAAAATAAATGTTTATCTTATCTAGTGTAGTAAGCAGATGAATTACATATTTTGAAAAGCAACAAATTTCGATTGGCTCTTCATTTCCGATTGCTTTAAAGTCTTCCAATGACATCGTAAATACCTTATCAAACCAATTCATATTTCACACCATGATAGAAACACCGGATACGACAAGTAATAATTTACTAGATTTTAAATAACGTATTGCATTCTTGAATCGGAATCTTTTGTAACGTTTAGTGTTGAGTAGGTTTGACACTAACCTGAAGATAGGTTATATGTTGAGGGAGTGTGAGGAGGAACAAGTGTGAGAGGAACTGGAAGAGAAAATATGAACCGACTACTCGGTAATCACACAGAGTGTTCTTACATTTAGCAGTGGAATTAGTCGACAGAAACCAACAATCTGATAGTCGAAACTAGAAGTTGGTAGATTCAGGTTTGAAATGCATTACATTGAACCGTATTTATTTTCCCACTGTTCTTCAATTACTTTTCATTTTTAATTGAAGCAACTGTCAGTCAATGGTTTTGGTCATCTATGATGAGAAAGAAATTTAAAAAAGGAATACATTCGAGAGTCTGCAAATTTATTGCACTGCTTTATACCATATCAGGAATTTGCATTGTTCTGCTGTCTATCTTTGATGTACGTTTAGTTGATTAAAATTGTTGAAAAACCATTACAGAATATTAGTATCATAACAGACACTGATTGATATGATTTGTGCAAATAAACACTTAGTTGAGTCACGTGTTATGTTAATGTAGTCAAGACATTTGACTGGAGATCCCAGTCATGCTAATTACTTGTACGGAATATGTTCACTTGATTGATGAAAATATTAATGACGATTTTTTTAATGATAATAATAGTGATAATAACAATGGTGAGAAAGATAACGTAATAGTCGTCAGCATGACGAATAATATCTCCCATTATTCAAGGAACAAATTCATTCCGATTATTTTATCTCGCAATCAGTTAATCACATTATTCTGTCATTTCCGAATAAGTAATCCACAAAACGATGCTCACGGAACATTAGTTATCTGAATTTTACAGAAATGTTATATAATAACCAAAGCATTTTATTCTTTGTGTTTCAGATGAAAGATACCAATCAATTACACTATCGTTTAACTATGGTCAATTTTTTTTGCCAAGTAACCGCGGTGCTATTGGGTTCAGCACTTGTTTTTTGGGTTTATCGTCCGATGAAATGGTTTCTGATTGCTAGGATTATTGTCATACTTCAGTTATTTCTCGGATTGTATTTCTGTAAGTTACATATCATGTATCGAAATTTCAAACACACTGAATAAGACGTGTCATGATAATCGTATTTACAGTTTAGAGTCACATATTTCAGGCATTCTGTATTGTGCGTTATATTTGCTGATTGATGATATACTGTAAGTGAAAAACATCCTCAACCTTATCTCACTCATCTATATCATTCAGACTGAGCTGATAACTTAATGGGAACAATCTCTAGTTAGATATGAATGTGTATGGAAGTAGTGACACATCGAAATCACATTAAATAATATATGCGTATTTGTATCTCTATTTGGTTCCATTGTGAAATCATGGTTCTTCAATATCACACCTCACTTACACAATAATGCATTGTTGTGTAACTTGCTTAAACTAGTTTAATGGATGTTCCGTGTTTTCTTTGTTTATTTGTATACCCTAGTTGTTTATTTCAATCGCGCTGCACTGTTAGTGTTTGATGGGGAGAACATCTACTACATAAGGGAACATGAACCGGTAAGTGTACATTATCAACTGTAGATACATGTGTTTCATGACTTGAATAAGTGGACAGGTAATTCCAGTTGATGCATTTATGCATTAAAATCTCATTGATCTCAAGAATTCATAACTAAATAATTGTAAACATCGCTGAAAATTGATAGTCAATTCACTGAATCGTGGATTGGTAACGACAGTTGTATTGGGATGCCAAATAAAATTGTAAATAAAAAAATGATAATGATGAGGCTACATCAATATAAAATTAATACTTATACTGAAAATATGACTTTATAGATGATGTGACTGGCGGTGTCCGAAGCAGATACTGTTACGCGATGTGGGATAGTTGGTTGCTGTTATGAGTTAAGAACAATAAGTGAAGAAAAGGAAATTACCTACATATGTCTGTTACTGCTGTTACCCAACGGCGTGGATGAGCATAGGCTGTCCATGACGAATCTCCACCTAACTCTATCCTCGACAATACTTTCCACTTGTTTATAATCGATTTTCACTCTTTGATGTCTGCTTCCAATTCCCAAAGCAGTGTGTTATTTGGTATTCCAATTTTCTGTCTCACTTCACCATTCCGACTTAACGCTTGTCTCGAGATGCAGTCTTATGATTTTCGTAATGTATATCCTATCCACATCCAGTATCCTTTCCTAATTCAATCCTCAACTGCAAGGTGGTTCGTTCTCTTCCACAATACACTCTTGATAATGGTATCCAACAAACAGATATTGAATATCTCAAGTAGATGATTGTTTATAAATACTTGTAAACGTTTGATGACTGTAGTTGTAGTTCTCGAAGTTGCAGCTCAGCATGGTAGAACTATCTTGACGTTCGTATTGAAGATTGTGAATTTGATGTTGGCTTGCAGACAGTTTTGTTTTGAATTCTATATGTTGTTTAAGTGAAGGAATGCTGTCCTCGCTTTGCCAATCCTTGCTTTTACTTCTGCAACAGATAGAAATAATTAATAATTGATTTGAACGAAATCGACACATGCAAATTGTTATCAAGTGAACTGATTCCATTGGTAATGAGGTGATAAAATAAATCAACATGATATGGGTGTGTTCATCCAGAATTCAACTGACAAACTGCTATTTCTGAAACCACAGAAAGTTAACAACATCTGAACTTCATGTTCTCTTTGTTCTGTTTTATCTAGAACTGTTAAAATTACCTTAAACACTTATTCTTAACTTTCATACAGCATCATTATTGTTTACTTCGTTGTTTGAAATAGGGTTACACAGAATTCAATAAATGTGCAATCAGTGAGTGGTTCTGTATATTCGGTCTTATAGAAATCACTTTGATAACTGGTTTGGAACTACGGAAACATGAAGAAAGTGTTACAAAAAGACAAGCAGGTTATTTGATATAGAGATCAGAATCTATGTAACTTACATGTTTATACATTTTGTGTGTGTACATTCCGTATTTTAATTTTGTACAAATTGTCGATGAAAATAGATTATCTTTTGATATTACTTTCGATTTGAATCTATTTTTGTGGTTACAGTTTGGAAGTACTGGGTGAATATTACAAGTATCAAGCACAGTAAAATAAAATGTTGATAATGACTAGATTGATATTCTCATTTTACATTTCGCTACAGTTTAGCTCCATTAAGACTTTACCTCAATGACGACCACAAGAGAAACGAAGTAATTTGTAGATTTTAGGCATATTGAGAGCCCATTTATTACAAGTAGGAAATCTAGTCAATAATCAGTCAATTCACATGTCAAAATTGACACAGTCGATCAGCCAACAAGTAACGGATTAACATCTGCACGTTCGGAGTCCAGGTCAATAGGGAAAACAACTAAACCGAACATACAAACAACGGGTATGCATTTGGGATTACATCCAACCAAATTCCAAGTCAGCTAAACGACTTGTAAATCAGCTGTCAAGAAACTCCTACAGTTTACATCTCGTCGAAGTATGTGGAGATGACTTTGTTCAGAAAAACAACCAGCTTCACAACCACAACACCCAGTTCATTAATTATCTCACCGACAATATGAGAATTAAAATACATAACGGAGAAGCTACATTTTAATATAGTTCACGAAACGTGAGTTCTTCTTACATTGGCTGATGAGACTACAGTGAGGATTTCATGTATCATGATTTCTTTAAACAACTATGTGTGGAAATGTGAAAATAGGCAGAGTGAATTAAGTAGACAGAGATAAGAAAGCATTCTTGTATAAAAATGCACATAAGTAAAAGTTCAGGATAAACCATGTATGAATGCATACAATCCAATCAATGATGCTGCAACTAAACACTATAGAACAGAAAACGTTACACAATAGTCTCCCTCAGTCTGTCATATTAATTTGAGATAGGATTCAATTGAAAATGGGTCACTACTGATAATGAATATAGAAATAACCATTTCCAAGTCTCTTTATAGTGAGAGGATTTTTAGTTGTTTCGAACTGGGTGATGTGTAGTACCAAAGTGAGATTGAGTTGGCATCCTCCATCAATTTCAGTCATACAACGACGCTTGTTTGGGAGAGTCGAACTGTGTCGTAAGTACGCAATGCTAAGGCGGTGGACCAACAGTATTTTCACTGGTGAAGACTATCTAGTGTAAGTCGAACTAACACCAAATGACGAGTTGACAACTGGTTGATTAGGCGGTGTTTCAGGAACAGCTGTTATTGTTAAATTGGAAAGATGAGAAATGAGCAGTGAGTAAGCGCTCAAGAAGAAGTAGTAGACAAACCTTAAACATTACGGTTAAAATGGGGTGTGAAATCAAATACCACTTTTCATGAGTGAAATTACAGTCTTTCCAAATTGTAATAACACTAGTTTAAAAGAGTTTATCGTTCAGTGACAATATATGTGAACTGTGTATTGTTTTTCAGTAGTTTGAGTCAGCTAATAAGATCACTAAATATAATTCCACCGTAAATGATGTCGAACCATCTGACAGTATTTACGAAACATCTTTAGCTGTGGACTAGTTCTAAACGATCCTATCTGAAATATAAATTGATTCAACTTCTCCTTATAAACTGTAATCAAATAACACAAGTTGAATATAATCAAAACGAAACTGTTGTGCTGAACTTTTCCGTTGAAAAATCGTTAGTTGCCAGTGAATAATGCCTAATGCTTGTTTGCGTAATTTTTAATTGATCTTATTAATGGATTATATCTGAATTGTAGGAACCAATTATAATGATATTTGATTTTTAATGTGTTCGAATTAAATGTTTAATGTCAATTAATAATTCTCACCTTAATGTAAATAATTTAGATTATTAGTACGGTATTACATTGATAGTTATTCATTTTAAATAAGAGGACTTTTGGCAATTATCTCGTAAGTTGTGTTTTCCAGATTTATATTCATATTGAAATGAACCATTCCACATCTTCACTGTAACTGGCTGCTTCGAGTACGTTTCCTTCAAGTTTCCTTCATGTTATTACATTTATGTTTACTTCACGGTACCAAACAGAGTTATTGATCATTTGCAATGTGATCACTATAAAAAGATATCGAACAAGATGTTGTACAATTTCATTACAATGATAGTTTCCAATCAAGATTTTCACCTTTCTATGCCGAACGTTTGATGTGAACTATGTTAGTTTTAGTGAGGATTTAACTATTGTAACTTTGAGAAATTTGAATTCACATATTCTAGTGTTCTTTTGTTTCTTCTCACTTTATAGTTGATTGAAAACGAGTATACATGAATCAAACGATTTAACTGGGAATGTGTTATTTCCTGAAATTATATAGATCATTAGGACGTTTGGTGTGTTTTACAGTATATTCAAATATCAGACTCTAGAATGAATTTCCTAACGTGGAAATCTGTACATTTTATGTAGGGAACAAAATATTCCTTGATATCAATCACTTTCGTATAACTGATTACAGAACACTGAAATTCAGCATTTCAGATGTCAGTTCTTTCATCACAAATCGTAACAAAACTAGTAAAACTAAAATTACATGAATAACGTGTAAGGCCTTGTAATGGAAAATACGACGTTTCCCTTATTGATCATAAACTTTCCAGCTCCTACCGATCATGAGATGTCTTGAATTCGTATGCATTCGAGTCGGCTTTATATCATGTATTTTTCCATACCCTTCGGTAATTTGAACAATCTGTTATTCACAATTAACAAATGTACCTTATATGAGATAATTATTGCGTTGTCTGAAACCATTCCTCATGAGTGGAATTATGAAAACAGTTCACTTGAACATGTTACATGGATCCATGTACACAGGATGAGGTCGATATGCCACATACAAATTAACATGTTGAAATTTTCCATGATAGAAAATTTTGACATTTCTATTATGTGGATAGATCAGCCGGAAATAAGAAACGCATTTTCGTAGAGAATAAGTTGATGTTTAGTTAGTGACATTCAACATTGAGAAATCGAAATCGGAAGTTGATGTACTGGACGATTCAATCAATTGAAATTTACACTATTAGATCACATTGAAACGTTGGCATTGACTACTCCATATAACATTAACATCTACAAAATCTCAGATTCTAGATAAATAGGATCGTGATATTTCTTTTCATTTGAGGTTGAATGCAACAATGTTATTGTGTAAATTTTACCCTTCACGAGTTCCGTTATTCGCCGTTTTCCACGCAATATTTTGGTTGCCCATGATGTAAGTTTAGAAGAATTAATAAATTTTGTCATGCTGATTAATATAAGTTTAGTATGATCAACTCTTTGTTCAATGTATACACTGATTGTTTATTGGTTAGTTTTATGTATTCGTTATCATATAAATGGTTTAACAATTAACCATCATGTCTGCTTTGCTTTCGATTGAGAATTGTATTTTAACAGTGCTATTAAGCACATGTAGACTTGACATTGAATTTCGTTTAACACATTTCTAGAGGAACACGATGCTGTGCTTATTGAAAAACGATAATTTATGACATGGTCATTACGCTGAAAAGTGGTTATCCACAAAAACACGATTACACAACAGCTTAAATATTAAGAACAAATTATCATAAATGTTAAGAAGTAACTGAATTAGAAAATCGTTCGGTTGTGGACAAATAACTGTGAAGTTCTACTCTACCATAAATATGAATAACTTCATCATAAAAACGATATTGATCAGTTGTAGGATAATAACAAAATTCTCTTCACTTGTCTTAATAATGGGAGTTTTATCAGCTGTGCATAGCATCCGGTTCTGTTACTTCTTTTTCCTTCCATTACAAGCCACATATTATCAATTTTATCATGAATGAAGGCAAATTAATGCAGACATTCAATGTGTTATTGAACAAAAGTAACTGTATGAACGGAAACAATATCAAGTAAGATACTTATCTGTGTTAAATACAGAAATACTAGTTATTACTCTGTGAACGATTTGTGGTAAATGCCTAGAAGTGAGAAGGCTGATCGAATTGTGAATGGATTAGAGATGATGTTTTCAGTAGTGGTGTTAAGCTGCTAGTTATTTTGATGTAAATTGAGGAACTTAGTTTGTCTGATGAAATAGACGTATCTCATCAATGGATATTTGAATATTTTCATAAAACCTCTTTTCTTGTTAGATATGTTGTCGCGATTTCCCATGATCATGTACAGCCATTTGTTCCATTTGTAAGGTGAGTAGGAAATTTTTTGAAATTTATCTATGTGTGTGTACATACGTTTATTAGACATTTATGTAAAGTGGTACAACTGGATTCGCTTGGAATATTATTCAGACAGTTTAGTTATTCTATAGTGTGATACATTGACTGAATAACGTAGATAGTCATTTTAGTGATACCCTCACTACTTGTAAACTATTTAAATCAAACTGAACAAACGACTTGAGAAATTCACCAGGTTGGGTGCTAGAATGATCAGGGTGATTAGTTCGCGAAAATCCCCTATCACTTTCAGCAAGTATTACAGCATGGATCTTTGGAATTCACATAAGAAGTACACTAAGATGTTTTTTAAGAGATATGTCAATGTGTAGAGCAATTTTCGTTCCTACGAAATGTCAAGTGAATGAAATTCTCAAACACGATAAATAGATAATACCGAATAGAAATAAAGCCACTTCACAAATCAATGTAGAACAGCATCCGAGATTTAAATGCTGAGAATTATTTTAGCTTAGTGAAAACTTTTTCATGATAATCATCTGAAAATACGAAGAAGATCTGATGACAATTAGAAACGTGATCGTTTATGATATTTAGGAATGCAGTTCGAATTTCACATAGTTTGTCACTAACTGAAGAAGGTTTAGAAACAGACCACAACTTTGTTTATTTCCTAAAATCTGATGATTATGTGTATACACTAATTCAATATAACTAGTCACAAATAATAATTTTATGCTTTTCCAGTTCATTCGGAATCTATTCACCGGAAAAATACATGATAATGTGTTTTCTGGGTTCATATGGAGTAATGAGTAAGTGAAGTCGAATTCATCATGTTGCAGATATTTTGCTATAAATCTCAAATAAAACTACTACGAATCCTTGTTAACATTTCTACTAATATTTGGTAAGTTGTATATTGCAGACAATACGAAATAGAGGAATTATATTCACACGACTTTCCGTAATAGAAATGAAGTGCTACTGATAATCAATTATTAAAGATTCCCATTGTGAAAATTAGAACAACACATATAGGCGAACAATTGTTTTCAATTAGATCGTCATCAGGCTTTACTCTAATATACATGAATATTTATACGAAAATGTTAAACCAATCAAGGCAATATGAGTCAATAATCACAATGAAATAAAATAAGTCTCTAGGTAAAAGTACAAGTTGATAGTAGGAAGACAGGTGAACTGATAATGGTGAGAATAATAAAATACAATAACAAAACTCTTATCAATAATTAAACGTTGGAAATAGAAGGTCAAATAAACATGAGTAAATAGACTAGGAATAGTAATCACAAAACATTAAAATCATTACGTAATAAGATGTGTGTAAATAATTAGATAGTGAAGAATACAAAGAGGCGGAAAATTACAAACAAATAATGGATGTGAAAATAAGGTCAATGATAACACAAATAAAATAAAATGAATAAGGATAATAATAAAATAAAATAAATAAATAAAAAGAATTGTTAGTTAAGTTATAACTGGCCATGGAAGGGATAGGGGGGTCACGTATTTCTTCTGTACACATAAATTGGGGTTATATGTACGAATTCCAATGGCTTCGGCTATATATAGGAGACGGGAACGGACTCCGTCGGGAAATGATGGAGGTATACGATAGATAACTCGAAAAGATTTCGATTTATCTACTGCATGACCGCTATCAATAAGATGTACCAATATAGAACTCCGAATAGATTTCCTCTGGCCCTTTATGTACCAAGTTGGTAGATGTTCACTCATTCGTTGGTTAAGTTGCCTGGTAGTACGCCCTATATAGCTATCTCCACAGGAGCAGCTGAATTTGTAAATGCACATGGAAGAGGCCAACTCAGGTAACTTATCCTTCGTTTGAGTAGACATCGCTGGCCGACAAGAGAAGGTCAACGCCAGATTGGCTGCGTAGAATGTCCTGGTGATTACTTTGGTTAATCTATATTTCAGAGTGTCACTAGCCACATCCCCGTTGAATTGCACTTTCATGTATAAAGGTTTCTTACGAACAGTCGAAATCTCCGACTTTTTTATTATATCATGCATGTACTTCCTAATGAACGCGCTGGGGTAGCCGATCTCGGTCAGTGAGTTGTTGATAAATTCAAGCTCCTGACTTAGAGTGTCTACTGTACAGATCTTTTTTGCTCTGCTAGTGAGACATCTGCAGTTTCACACCCATCCGTTACAAGAGAAATTTGGTCAGATGTCTCACTAGCAGAGCAAAAAAGATCTGTACAGTAGACACTCTAAGTCAGGAGCTTGAATTTATCAACAACTCACTGACCGAGATCGGCTACCCCAGCGCGTTCATTAGGAAGTACATGCATGATATAATAAAAAAGTCGGAGATTTCGACTGTTCGTAAGAAACCTTTATACATGAAAGTGCAATTCAACGGGGATGTGGCTAGTGACACTCTGAAATATAGATTAACCAAAGTAATCACCAGGACATTCTACGCAGCCAATCTGGCGTTGACCTTCTCTTGTCGACCAGCGATGTCTACTCAAACGAAGGATAAGTTACCTGAGTTGGCCTCTTCCATGTGCATTTACAAATTCAGCTGCTCCTGTGGAGATAGCTATATAGGGCGTACTACCAGGCAACTTAACCAACGAATGAGTGAACATCTACCAACTTGGTACATAAAGGGCCAGAGGAAATCTATTCGGAGTTCTATATTGGTACATCTTATTGATAGCGGTCATGCAGTAGATAAATCGAAATCTTTTCGAGTTATCTATCGTATACCTCCATCATTTCCCGACGGAGTCCGTTCCCGTCTCCTATATATAGCCGAAGCCATTGGAATTCGTACATATAACCCCAATTTATGTGTACAGAAGAAATACGTGACCCCCCTATCCCTTCCATGGCCAGTTATAACTTAACTAACAATTCTTTTTATTTATTTATTTTATTTTATTATTATCCTTATTCATTTTATTTTATTTGTGTTATCATTGACCTTATTTTCACATCCATTATTTGTTTGTAATTTTCCGCCTCTTTGTATTCTTCACTATCTAATTATTTACACACATCTTATTACGTAATGATTTTAATGTTTTGTGATTACTATTCCTAGTCTATTTACTCATGTTTATTTGACCTTCTATTTCCAACGTTTAATTATTGATAAGAGTTTTGTTATTGTATTTTATTATTCTCACCATTATCAGTTCACCTGTCTTCCTACTATCAACTTGTACTTTTACCTAGAGACTTATTTTATTTCACAGATTTAAATCATGAGTCAGTTGAAGCTAGACCACCATTGAAAACCTGGAAGCACTGGACGGCCGTTTCGTCCTAGTATGGGACTCCTCAGCTTCAACTGACTCATGATTTAAATCTGTGAAATTTCTAAAATCTCCACAAAACCCATTCTGATTATTTTATTTCATTGTGATTATTGACTCATATTGCCTTGATTGGTTTAACATTTTCGTATAAATATTCATGTATATTAGAGTAAAGCCTGATGACGATCTAATTGAAAACAATTGTTCGCTTATATGTGTTGTTCTGATAATCAATTCACAGAGACAATTTGTTAATGCTGTGATCATCGTAACATGCTTTACAAACGTGTTGGACACTATCAAGAATAGATGACCACCAATGCCATACATTAACAGAATGTGTTTTGTGGAGATTTTTAGAAATTTCACTGGTTGAAGTCATGAGTCAACCTAAGCTAGACCACCATGGAAAGATTGAAGCACTGGACTGCCGTTTCGTCCTGGTATGGGACTACTCAGCAGTGCGCATCCACGAACCCGCACACCGCGGGATGTTTATACAAACACTTGCTTTCAGAATAATTTATATCTAGTTCCATTATTGAAAAATGAATACATGTAGAAAGTAACGAAAATCGTCATGTCTTATTACATGTTCTATACACTTAGATCTTTTGTGTTGTACCATAAATTGTGTTTTTCAACTACACCATTGACTCTCGTTGATTAAAATAATAAGATAACTACAATTCTCTAGGGGATTTCAATCAACGAACGATGTTACGAGCTACACTCAGAGACTACGTTGAGAGGTAATAATAGAAGTCCTCTCCTGTTTCAGTTTGGACAACTGATCAGTATCACCACACACACACAAACAATTGACTTTAGTGGCGCATATGTGTTGGGTGGGAATGATGCATTACAAATGGGGAATAATAAGCTTCATTTTGACCTAGGTTTTTACTTCTCCGGACACAAAATCCTCAAAGTACGGAGTGAACTCAACTCCTCAGAGATGCGATTCCACGATCCTGGGTTCGAATCTCGCTAGCAGGTTGGTATAATGTGCACGAAACTGCAGAATATCATACTAGGACGAATCGGCCGTTCAGTGCTTTCAGGTTTTTCATGGTAGTCTACCTTTAATTGCCGCATGAATTCAGCTATTAATCATTCAAATGCTTGTGTTGTTGTCCAGACCAAGTAGATTGTTCATCATATATTCAGATAAACTAAGTGAGTATAACAGTTGAATTCAATTGTAAATACACCATGTAATGAACAGGTTGTTAGAGCTGACCTAGTCCATAACTTGTATTCTTCAACACATTTCTAATTTAAGAGATGTGCAGACTCACATCTTAAAAACAAACATTTCATTTAATTCCAGGTAGTTTAACTACTTATCTTTCGTATGTGTATGTGCTGTTATTGTTCTTTGTATCGGAAACATGTTGAAATGCCTTGTGCTGACAATTCTATATTGTGCCAAAGTCATTGATTGTGATGATAATAATAATAACGCGTCTAAATTTTCCATGTTGAGAGATGAACAAATTCTATGTGATGGTTTACGGTGCATTATGTGCAAGTGTTCAAGAATCTGGTGAAATATAGAATTTCTAAACTTTAGTCGATCATTTTAATTTTTGTTATTCTCGTAGAAATTGATTTCAAGTTTCTAATTGTCTATAGTTAGCGTTCTGACAAACAACTACGATTTTAATTTTTTTACGTGAATCAATTCCACGGATTTGTGTTCAATAAATAGAACGAGCCACTAAATGACAACTGAAGTAATCAAAATTTCACCTCGACAATATTGCACTGACGACAAGTCAGAAAATATCTCACATTCCATAGATTTATGAAATGTCATATGAAAGTAAATAAACTCAATGCAATAAATTGTGAGATTAATTATGATATAGATGATAACACATTATTGGGTTATTATGTTTCAGCGAAGTCGCTTTTTTCCTCTCGATTGTTTCTCACCAAATATTTATCTGAAATTTCAGCAATTATAAGTCAGTGGTTTTGGTGCTTAATGATGATAAATAAACTCAAACAAAAATCCCGGTCCGGAATTCGTCCATGTATATGCATCTTCGTTGGATTGGTTTATACGATATCAGGAATTTGCATTGTTCTGTTATCATTCTTCAATGTACGTCCAGCTCGTAAACTCCTTTGTAAGATTATTGAGAAATGAAATCCAAACAATGAAAATGGTAATCCGTACCTTGTACATTGTTCATTCATATTATTTGAAGAACCAAGTGACTTAGTTGAATCACTTGCTATAACAGATATCGACTTTGTTGGTTGGGAAGTGTTAGCCAATAAACCAGTTACATAAATCTCAGTAGTCAAATATTTAGTGGAGTTTGGCCATACCGATTACTCTTAAACTATATTCGTGTATAGTACCTACACAACAGTCCTCATTTCTGTCCCAGCTGTTAAGTTCGAGTTCTGCACTGCAACAAATCACCTGTTAGGAGAGAACCGTTACTACTTCAGACCAGTTGTGAGAAACACTACAATCACTGGAATTGATGGTCAGGAAACCGTTCAAAACATTTGACATTGTTTGCTTCCTTTTGTAAATCTTGATTTATGAGATTACCATATTTTTCAGAACAACAAATTAATTACTGTTCTATGCTTATATAATGTACTTAAACATGTATATAGGTCATAATAATAGTTATTTACTGACAGAGTTTATGGTATTGCTTTGAAGATAAAGATTTGTGACACTTTGTTGTAAATAAGTACTCTCTTCAGCTGTTCTCCCACAACACTAATAACTAGTTCTACATTAGTAGTGTGTTTCGGTTATGTTCGAAAGAAACTACTTTGTTGTATAGCCTCATAGACTTATTCAGGAATATAAAATAATGCCTATTATCACTATTAGTTGGTGAATAGAGACTTACGCTCTCACATTTTACACAGGGAAGTAAACTCATAACTCGTCTTAAAGTCACATTGTCAAGAGCTTATGTGTATAATTTCTAAGTACCATTTACTCATTTCAGACAGATCATGATCACAGATGAACATAAAATGCATGAAGTATTTTCATTGAATAGACAGTAGAGAATTAAACCATAATTAAAATAGAATTCTCAGTCAGCGATTGTTTTCTCTTATGTGACATGAATTATTTTACAATATTCTTTACTCTAGTAACCAACAAATTATGATTTTTGTATTGCAGATGAAAGATACTAATCAACTACATTTCCATTTGACGTTGAGTAATTTTATTTGCCATGCGGTCGCTATTCCATTGAGTTCTTTACTTATCGTTTGTAATTTTCGTCTATGGAAATGGTTTCTACTTGCTAGAACTATTGTTTCTCTTCAAATGATTATCGGATCGTTTTCTTGTAAGTTACACAGCATTTAGCGAATCTTCTGTATTTCAAATGACAATAACAACTAATGTTCATGAATATCAATAATCCAATCTACACTGATATGTATTTTAACTGGTTTTAATTTATGAAGTCATTTTCCATAATTTCGCCTCACTCAAATTTCTACTAACAACATTTACCAGTATTATGTAGTCTTTATTTCTATAGTTTGTTTACCGTTAAACAAACAACGCCTCAACATGGTCTAGATGACTGTTCATGTTAGTAGTATACAGATTATTCTATAGGTTTGTATAAATTAAATATTATTTCAGAGAAACTTTGGTATCATTACTTACTTGGTATCATTAACAATACCTCAAATAATTTAGCGTCTGAATTTATTTCTTTGTATTTCCGTACTCTAGTTGTTTATTTCAATCAAGCTGGTCTACTAGTATTGCAGGCAAAAAACATGTTTTACATCAAGGAAAACGAACCGGTGAGTGCAGATCATCAATATCAGTGTTTACAATCAGTATATTAAATAAGTTGACATTTCATTCAGTAGATTAAAGTTTTCCGTTGAACTCTTATCAAACACTGAAGATCACAATGACAATATTGTAAACCGTCGTTCAAACATTTAACAAAATGGAATCCATGAATGTATAACGAATTACTCATTAACATATATATAAATTTACATGAAATAAACAAAACAGTTTAGAGAGGCCAAATCCTGTCGTAAATACGAATATTCAGTAAATAAACAGAGATTTCGACCAAACATAAGTCAATATCAAGTAACAACTTATTAGAATTTAGCCCCGGTGAAGTAACACAAATGCTTCGCCTGAATAAATCGAATTACGTAATTCTCGTAAACATTTAGCTTAATGATCAAAGTCGTGACATGAAAATATATTTCAAACGTGGACAACCGTTTCAGATAGGAAAATACTGAATATGCCATTCACAAACTGGAAAATCAAGTCACTTCAGTTTATTTCTAGGAGAGTAGGAAGTTATGGTGTTGTCGATTTTGAAACTTACGTAGTTTTATGCATGATTATGTAAGCGAGTGTTATCATCTTGATTTCTACTCCTCATTCCAGTTTCAATTATTATCTGGTACCATGGGCAGTTTTCAATGTGTGCATTACGTTGAAAGACAGAAACATCTAGAAATTCAGTACACATTTACTGATTCATTTTTATAGAAAAATCTAAACTATCTACACGGTAGGATCAATTTGGAAATACAAGGCATTTGATTAACATAGGAAAATGCACACCATCGGTGTGTTGAAAGAAATACTAGTTAAATTAGTACAACTTGGAACAGTTGACTTTCGCCCCTAATAAATTCACATTCAGATTTACAAACAGGTTTTATAATTACCATAAGACACTTATTATTTAAAATAACAACCATGTAAACTTTACTGAGATTATCTCCAAATGATTAGTATTTAGGTATTTGTAGACTTATAATGCACACCACTGATTTGTTTTATTATAGGGTTACAAGGAATTCAATCAATGTGCAATCAGCGAATGGTTCGTGATATTAGGATTAATAGAAATCACTTTGATAACTGGCTTAGAATTAAGAACTTATGAAAACCAGTATGAGGAAATCAATAAAACCGTGTGAATATACGAGGAATAACTTTTCTCCATTTTGAATATTTTTCAAATCAAATTGTACTTATCTGTATATACTTTTACGAGGATTTGTATTTTCACATGTGTAAATGAACTAACCCACATGTAGATATTCGTCATGTGTTTGCGTCAGAAGACTTTCATTAATAAAGTTGTGAGGACTTGAGGTTATAATTACTAGTTTGTTAGTTTACTATGTTGTTCCCATCGGTTGTATTTACAATTTCTTTTCATTATTGTCCGATATGTAATACGTTTGCACACTGAATAGAATATGAATTATTAAATACCTATTGAGCTCTGGTAAATCGTTCACACTAATAAAGGCATGAGCAAAAGCGTGACCACGGAAAAGGCGAGTGAAAGAGGGTACGATTGAAAAAAATAATGGTGACCATTAGAAAGTCTCACATTAATAAAGGTGAGAATCGAACAGGAGAAAAAAATTCAGACAATGTGTCTTTAGTTAATATTGAAATTCATTTCAATCCGGTATTTTCAACCGACTTATTTTGAATAAGTGACTCATATTTAAGTTTTGGCAAGAGTTAGACATAATCAATACACTGCTCTGTTCTATCACACTAGGTTGATAGTAGTTATGTTGTAAATAGAATTAACAACTTTGAACGATTCAAATAATGCACTTCAATTTCTTAAATGTGGTTTCATATCATCTTGCATATACACCGGAAATTTTAACAAACAGCTATAGTCTTTCTGTACCTAATAAGTTTGCGATACATCTAGCCGTTTTTCAGTCAGAGGAAGTGTATAGGACAATCTCACCATATTTTCCAATTAAATTTCTTTTTCTTTGATCCTTTTTACATCACTTCTTCCTTTTCAAGATATTCAAAATGATTATTCACACACTTCTTAGTGTGTTAAATTTACTGATTATCATTCTAAAATGTTTATTTTTCAAGTTTGACGTACATCCTACGTAGGAATATTTGCTCATGTTATCAAGCTATTTATTATTTATATTATTGCTGCTACTTTATTAGTCAATTTATAAAAGGTTTGTAATTGTAAATTACTGTTATCATTTATGTAATCTGTTTCACAGTTATAACTGGCATATGATAAACTAATCGGCCACTTATCACTGCTTACAATTTATTCAGTTAAATCAATGTGGATATATCACAATGTATCGATATTCTTCTAAAAGTCCCACTTGAAAGTTATCTGTTGTTCCATATAACAAACATATACCACAGGTTTTTGTTTTCCAACTGAGATTTCTGAGAAAACAAGGAGCATTGGATGGTTCAGAGTAACTTCGAATTCCTCGAAGATTGTTTGCCAAATGTGAAAACACATTCAACCATAGTATTTCCAAGTGAGAATCGAAACTTCAACTGACAAAAGTGAAAATCAAATTACATCAGATTTAAATATTTCCCCAACTGACTTTCGAAACAAATTAAGAACCAAGTTTAAGATTTTCTCATCAGTTAGTTCATAAAGAAATGATAAACTCGCTATTCATCAATATATTCATCAATTTTGTTTAAAGATTAGTAAGTACAAGATGTCGTTCGAAACATATTTTAAACTTGTTTCATAAGTTGTATTGTGATAATATTTCTGGTTTTACTTCGTACCAAAACGTCTTCATATGTTTGTGTTTCCAGAGCAATGACTAGAGTGAATAGAAGACACGCAAGAACCAGAACCCATTCAGCAATTGCACAATAAAGAAATTCCCAGTAGCCCTGAACACGTTGACAAAATAAATAAAGTATTAGTTAAGTCACAAAATACTTTCTCACATACACTCCAACATTCTTCTTGTATAAGTTATTAAATCCGTATAGTGCTTCCATATCTATCAATAGATGATACCACTCTCAATCTTTCTTAACACAGCTTATGTTCATTTAATCAAGTTCATTTAATCGAGTCTGTACGACTGCAAAAATTATCTTTGTAGACACAACCAATCCACACTAACCGATAGTGTGAATTCAGTCAAAATTTAAAGCATGTTCATCCATAATATTTACTAAGTGGAAACTTACACCATCAGTTGGTTTCATTCGATAAACATTCAATGTACTCAATAAGGGAAGCCCAATTACGTTGAAATAAACATCTAAAAAATATACAAACAAACATTGGTGATGACTATATATAGTCTCTATTAACCAGCATGGCTCACGCTCACAGTCAGTTATTTCATGAACTGGTGAACAGTCTTTGTTCAGCTAATTCTAGATCCCTAGAAATTTAACGCACTTTGAGGTAAGTGCTTGTTGATAGTAAATTCTCCATGTCTAAAAAACCTCAATCCATTAATTATTTATCTATAATATTTATCAGGTTTCATTGAAACCATTTTAGTTATAGGGCGAAGACAAGATAAAAACTTGATTGTTTGGTGATGACTTGCAAATCCCATCCAATTAAATAATTCATCTACTTGGTTTATGTAAATTGAAGTGACAATTTAACCAAAACAAATTATCTAAAAGTTGGAATTAAGGCACCATATCCAGAAGATTTGACAGGAAGAACAAGTGCCGACAGAATGGGAAGAAGGATACTTCATCAAGACACAAAAAAGAGTTGAGCAATTCTGAGAATCACAGAGATATCATGCTACTACTATTAATGCTAAATGTACCTTCCAACAGAATGTCTTTGAACCAGATGAGAGATTCAGTAGATGCCCAACTTCGAACCAGAAAACAGGATTCCATAAGCGCCGATCGTTTACTGATCGAATCGTGACACTACGGACAACCAAGTGAATGGAACCTGTCATTGTACATCAACTTTCCTGACTATGGGAAATCGTTTGGCTGTGTAGATAGTAGAACGTTATGGAGTCTTCTCCGACATTATGATGTAGATGAGATGCTTGTCACAATCACATAGAACTTCTACGTTAGAATAAACTGCAAAGTCGAGCATGGAAGGTAGCTGAACAGATACATCTCAAGTCAAGACCGATGTCAGACAATTTCGCCTACTCGATCTCTTTCTCTCCCTTCCGGTTGTCGACGCCATAAGGGAGCATTTCTACAATTGAACAACATATTGAATTAAAAACAATTGCGTGCAAGCCAGTATCAAAGTCACAATCTCCACTACGAATGTCAAGATAGTTCTACCATACTGAGCTGCAACTTCGAGAACTACCACAACAGTCATCAAACATTTACAAGTATTTATAAACAATCATCTACTCGAGATACTTAATTTCTGTTTGTCGGATACTATCAACAACAGTGTACTGTGGAAGAGGGAAAACCAACTTCCATTTGAGGGGGAAATCAGGAATGGATGCTGGATGTGGATAAGATATACATTACGGAAATCATCAGACTGCATCTCGAGACAAGAGCTAACTCGGAATCATGAAGGAATACAGGAAAGTGAAATACCAAATAATACACTGCTTCGGGAATCGGAAGCAGACATCAAAGAGTGAAAATCGATTGTTAACAAGTAGAAAGAAATATACGCACACTTTGTTCAACATTGTTTTTTGTATAAACGTGAAGAACCGAGAGGTAACATTTGTACTACTACAATGGACATCATCAACTTTTATATTAAACAGAATCTTACTGCTAATGTGGTCATGAATACTTCTGACAGAAATTGTTACAATAAATTTTATCTCAAGTTATTCTTCTTCGATGAAAATCATCTATCTTAAGTATATATCTATTCGTGTATATACAATAACTTACATGATATTGTACTGATCAGCATTTTCACAATAAGTGTAAGTCGAAAATAGCAAAACCAGAGAGGTTTCTCAAAATATTTGGCCATTAGGTAACATCCCAACAAAATTGACATACCATGACATATAAAGTTCCCAACTGTCATCAGAAAATGTATTCCTCCATAGTTTTCCATCTGTAGGTTGTTAAAAATATGGATTTCTGGAAATGTAAATGACATTCTTGAATACAGAATCGTAGGCCTCGATTTTAATTTCAAAGTTATGATATATTTTGATTGAGATTTTGATTTAACTTTTTGCATGTTGAGTTGGTTACAAATCAAATACAAAAATGTACATTATTTGCTTTGCATTAATGTTGTGTCCCGATAAGAATAATGAGTGGTAATTTTTTGGGATCTATTTATGAACCAATACTGTGTGTATATTTTTATCGTATAAGTGTAAATTAACTAAACTATTCATATTCATATCTCTCCTATCATAAGCTTTATTTTAACCTATGAACAGTTATTATAGGATTTTCCATTCTTGAATTATTCCCTGTCTAATAATCACTACGCCACACATTCACAGCCACAAGTGGCCAAATCTTGTACAAATGTTATTTTCTATTTTATGGTACGATGTGGTCTGCTTGATTGGTATATAAACTCAGTATGTTTGAAATACATTATTCATATCGCAGAGGCCCGAATCGGCGTTCTGTACTTAACTGACTGGGTTAGGAAGAAAGCAGGACCAGTCAGAACTCTAGGCTGCTCCCACTTGTTTTACGCGTCCTTAGTTCGACCGATAATTCACTGCCCTGTAATTGGCAGTCACAAGATATAACAATTAAATAATTTATAAATGTTTCTCATGTAAATTTAAAATGAGTACTTAATCATCAACTGTAGATCATATGTTTCCAGATATCATCATTTTGTATGTAATTAATGATAATTAATCTAGGATGGCTCATGTATTTCGTAACCGATTGCAAAATGATAATTACAATATGTTATTTAAAAAATCGATACATACAGTAAAACTGATGAACATTTGGACAGGTTAATATAAATGACTTTTTACTGAATAAAAATGTCAGGTTGTGACTACTTATAGTTTTCGTAAATAAATTATTAAGGATATCTTTCTAATTTACCATTGGTAACTATTCTGTTAATGAAAATGAACTGATAGCAATCATTCCCACAGATCTAAACCGCTACACCAGTCATTTAAAATAGCAGTGTTGCCATGCATCTGCTAGCTTCATCAAGGCACAAAGGCTACTTGAAATATAACCTACAGATGATAATTAATTTAATAAGGTAATAGAAATTTTGTTTCTATCATAATCTGTCACTTATCAAAACAATCTCCTTGTTACTATGCGTTATTTTATAAAATCTGAATAATCACAGAATCACATGAATATGATTGATGAATAATTTGTATAAATTTCATTCTAGAGATTAAACAACAATCTTAAACTTTATATTTCTAAACAGTTTTTTTTGCGTCTACACTTCGTAGTGCGGTTTCGAACACCATAAGGGACTATCGATTCAGTAAGAAATCGTATATACTAGGAAGCAATTAGCCCCTTTGATAAATTTTGATAATTTAATAAGAGTATCAGAACTATGTGATATATTAGCGCAATACAGTTCGAACAATCTGATCACACATATACTTGTTAAGAGCATTTATGTATAAAAAAATAAAAAATCAACTAGACTGAAAATGGGGTAAGATACAGAAATAATAATAAGAGTAATAATTGTAATGTGAACACAATTTGAAACCTAATCACTCTGGATAATAAGCCAAAATTACCAGGGTAGATTGAAGGTGAGAACAAAATTTTTTTTGAATACACATATGGCGGTTGAATTTCCGTATGGCTAAGGCCTCAATAAACCATAGTATACACCCCGTTACACTTTTATACAACACCACGAAATCCGAGTCAAAATCAATCTTATGGTCTGTTCCGAATATATGTTTAGCATTGGATGACGGATGTTTATCCTCTCCTCTTATTGGATCATCTGATTCTATTTGTTTCTGCGACCATTTTAGTACATGTTCCGTTTAGTTAACCTTTTATTTTTTATATATAAATGTTTTTAACATGTATATGTGTGGTCAGATTGTTCGAAATGTATTGCGCTAATATGTCACATAGTTCTGATAATCTTCGTCTTCTTATTACATTATCGAAATCATGTGTACGTCAAAGAACATCAAAAAATTTTAACAGTCTAGTGTCTACATATATGTTGATAAAAGTGATCTGATTATAATCACCATAATTTCAACATGATCTTCGTTCAACAAACGAGTTTGGTATTGTACAGTATAAATATAGACTCCTGAAGTGTTTGTCTTCCTGAACTCAATAGCTAAGTGGACAACTTGATTGTGTTTGAAAGGAATGGTACTGGGTTCGTGTCCCCTGGTGACTTCTGAGATGCAAGTACATCCAGTTGACGGGTCTGAAATAGGACGAAATAAACGTCCTGGAGTCCATTACTAGCCATCATTCATCTGTGCTTATAATCCTTGTGACTCAAGGCACTCCATATAGGATCCACGCATGCCAAAAAAAGACTAATCAATTGCAACCTATACAGATATATTGATTGTGGAAATTAAATGAATTCTATATTTACATATTCGAATCATTTGAAAAAGTGAACAGAAGATAAGAACTGAGTAAACTGATTACTGTGAGTGTAGCATATATATTGTAAGTAACAGCAAAATCTCAATAATATGGCAAATATTTACATCATTTATATATGAATGAACAATGGTAAAATCGAAAATTAAGCATATCATTATTTCCTTATTATGAGCAAACGGAACAAACAATTACAAATATAGAGTGTAAAAAATCAATTTTACATTGGCACAGCATTTCATTAAAACCATGATTATAGTTGACACTCTATTATGTTAACAATATTAGAAATTACTTTCGAGTAAAAATAAAATAAACTCACATCGAAAATCGATAGACCGATTAAACACAATCCAGAAATGATCATTAATAGTCTGATAAATGAGTTGATTAGATGAGGAATAAGAGATTTGGTCATAATTACAATTTTATTTCTAGCTATCTTGAACCAAAAACAGTTTCCCGCCATATCTAAAAACAAATGGACAAAGTAAAATAGTATGTAATGTGTTACATATATATAAATATAAGTTGAAAAATATGTCCCAACCACACTCTTTTTAATAGAAGTGAAGATCATTACTTAACTAGACAGTTTTCACATTGAAATTATTCTGTATTGACGATCGACGATCATTATATTCACTGATGAAGCTGGTCACAAATCAGCTAGACAAATGATGCTGATGAATTGATTTGCATACTGTTCATGCTATTTAGTCGTTATTATTTGCAATTAACTTCTAAATGTCATAATTCAAAATCATTTAATCTATCACATGTATACCAGCATTACCACAATAGAGAAATACAGCTACACGCAATAACTGTGTACTGGTGCAAATGCTTGTTTAGTGTGCCTCTTCATTTTGACGTCAGTTAGATCAGACGATGATGTTATCGACAGGCTCATCACTTTCAGTGGCCCGATATCTCACTCCCGTTAAATCGTATTATTATTATTGTTATTGAAATATACATACTGCCGTTCGTCGTATAGAATTATCGACCTAACTCGCGTTAGTGAGTAACACAATTGAATAAGTCAGATACGAGAATGCATTTCGAATACCTACTATATTCTACAATTGTGGATCAGAACGGATAATCAGAGAGATAAAGAGAGCAAGAGAGAGAGTGCGAAGGACGCGAACTGGATAGACTCTAGTGAAATTTACTGGAGAAGTTATAAGAGCCAATTCATTTTAGTTAAATGTTACTCAATATCTGTAGTCGAATCGAATCGAGGTGAAGCGAATAATTAACAAGGTCAAAATGTAGCTTGAGAAGAATGAATAAATTGGTGTATCCACAAGCTAGAATAAGCTATGTAGGCTTGGTATGGCAACCGACAAATGTTTTCTTCAAAATCATTTCAACCATTCATCGAAAATCGCTGAGAATTAGAGTACATAATTGTTCTTTATAAACAAATGAGATAACTACTATCTAGTCAGAAAACCTATAATATTTAAAGAACAAACAAATAACGAAAACATACATTCACTCAGTCAATGAAATCAGTTTATCCACTTAACCATTGTTTGAAATTTTCATAAGCCAACCTCTAGTCTCAAATTTATGAAAAGTTTTTCTTCATAAAATTATAAGGGAACTGATTGGTATGGTTGAAATCCTGTTGTCTTCATTAATTTAATTCCTGATATCCATATGACACTGCTCATTTCTAGTCTTCTTAATTATAGGTGATACCATTATGATAACGACTCCTATCCTATTCACCACAGTAATCCCATCTCTCTTTGCTGATACAGGGGAACAACTTTGGTAGATATCACTTTTTCACAGATCTTAAGTCTAGCATGATTCAGTGATGAGGTCGAATTTATGAGATCGAAGTATATTGTGTTAAATATTGAATTTTGTCAAGCTGATCGAGAAACAGTGTACTAATATGCAATATCTTTTAACGGGTACTGGAAAATGTCTAATTTCTCTTGATGAAAAACAATCTTTCTAGAGGAAGTAACTACATATATTTTTAAGTCTTTAATTGAAGTTACATAGTTTTAAAACGTGTTGTAAATCACATTACTCACTAAATAGAGCATAACTAATCATCAGCACTTGAAACCAATGTTTTTCTGGTGGGAAAACTCCAAATGCACTAAGAATTTCAAAGAGAAAAATTTAACTAGTTTACGTTAAATGAATTAAGATGATTATTGTGTAAGATGTTTTATTTACATCTATGTTTTGATGAATCATTAGTTACACTGACCGATTTTTTTAATGATATCAACAAACGTATAAAGCACTTTCTGAGTATCTAAAACGTAGTTTTGGGTTAATATAATACAGCTCTTTCTATTTCTTTAAGTTCCATATAGTTGAAGGCAGAGAATAGAGAATCGTATACGTGTTGACTGAACAAGAAATTAGTATTTTCGGTTGATAGTGCTCTTTCTGTACCCAAATTATATTAAGTTGAATTTTATAAACTTCGCTATTTTGGATCCTGGATCAGCTAATTACAGA